CCCCATCGGGGATCCCTGTGAGTGTAATGCGATCAGCCACCGCATCTGAACCATTCTGAGCCCCTCTAGTTAGAGCAGAGCCCAGACAGCCAGTTGTCAAGAACGGGAAACCAATCCGGTGAGCTCCTCAGTTGCCACAAGGTAAAAAAAATCATGGTTAATGTGACAAAACAGCCCCGTTGTTGGGGGCAGAAGGGAGATGCTCACGGCTGTGACAGACGTCACCGATGTCTGTACAAATGTAACACTGCCTGTTTCCAATATCACACCGGCGGAGCCGCGCGGGGAATCTTTGTTCTGCCCTGAGAATCACAGGGAGGGGGGAAGGGGGCAGAGGAGAAAGGAAACCCACTTCATACAAGATCCTTTTCAGCACAGTGGGTCAGTATCATAATCCTCATCTGTAAAATGGAGCAGCTGAGGAACAGAGGGGGCGTGGCTTGCCCAAGCTCATACAGACCTGAAGAAGAGTTCCATGTAAGCCCCAAAGCTGGGCTCTCTCACCAATAGACATCGGGCCAATAACAGATATTACCTCACCCACCGTGTCTCTCTAATACCCTGGGACTGAGGCAGCTACAGCTACACTGCATACAAGGTCATACAGTGAGTCAGCAGCAGAGCAGTCCTACCTCCCACTCCTCTATCCACTAGATGTCCCACCCTCCCAGAGCGGGGGCTAGAACCCAGGAGTCATGGCTCCCACACAGCATTCTCCATTAGCCACACAGCTGTACGGGACCAACCTTGATGCATACAGGGAGCTCCTGTTTATGGGCTAGTGGTGAGTGGGGTGTATGAAGTCATTTCTCCAGGTTCTGGGCCAAGCTAGTCACAACCTACGCTGACAGTTCCTGGCTCTCCCCAGGCTGACTGTGGTCTGGAGCCGGAGGTGAAAGCAGCAGAAGCTCAGGTGTAAAGAACACAGCCAAAGCTTCCCATGAAGGGGCTGCGCAGGTGGTGCTGCTGCTGACACCTGACAGGTAGGCCTCTGACTCGCTCATCTGCATCCTGAGGCACGTGCCCTCCGGATCCACAGGCAGAGGGTGCTGCAGGCCTGGACTGAGGTGCCCCGAATATGAACACACACTCCCTAGCCCGCAGACAATAGTTCTGCCAGTCCTCTGTACACAACGCCCACCCAGGAGGCCTCCCAGGTTTGCAGGAATCTGCTGCCTTGCCCAGAGGCGTAGCGAGTGCCCTCCGTACCCTCCGACCGGAGGGGGCCCCGCAAGGAAGGGGGCCCCTAAAAATGGCAAAATAAATACCACATTCCAGTTTCTGCATTGTAAGGGGCCCCGCCCGGACATATGTTCGGAGGGGGCCACCGTTCGGAGGGGGCCACGTTCTTTGTTGCTACGGCCCTGGCCTTGCCACAGAGTCTGTCTCACTGGTGGCCAGGAGCCTCTGCAAACTCTGTGCCCCTTTCTCTCCATCTGTCCAGGTATCCCTTCTGGGTACCTACGTGTGAACAGGTCTGCCCAAGTGCAAGGAGCCATATGGTGCCATTGCAGCACAAGTGAATCTGCCCAGGAGGGGCCCACACTACAGATGGCACTGGCAGCATCACCTGCTTCAACCCATCACCGTCTGGCTTCTGCATCCTTGGCCATCAGTCCAACCAATTTGTAAGCAGGCACCATGCCATCCCAACAGGCCAGCCAGAGGACAGAAGGCAAAGAAATTAGGTGCCCAGGGCATTTGCACAGAGCAGCATTCTCAGCCCATGGAACTGCTGTTGTTCTCAGATGCCCTAGCCAAGCCAACCTCTGTTGCAAAGCCAGCACTAGTCATAGAAAGTAGGGATGGAAAAGTCCTATTAGCCACCCAGCCCATCTCCTGGGGCCAGTGCAGGGCTGTATCCTTCCCTGCAGGGCGTTCTCCAGTGGGAGAGTCACCCATGTGAGACAGTGCCAGGTCACCCACTATATTTGGGTTCCATATATGAGTAGTTTATAAAGGGTTAATAAATGATCAATAGATATTTTAATAAACAGTTAACAAATCGTTACGAAGTCCAACAGATCTACAGGTCGCTTATACCCATCATTGTACTGATGTGCTCCTACCCATCATCTAGAACACATTCTCCTCTCTGCAACATGCTGCTGACATCTAGTAACCCACTGATACACAGGTTTCAGAGCAGCAGCCGTGTTAGTCTGTATCTGCAAAAAGAACAGGAGTACTTGTGGCACCTTAGAGACTAACAAATTTGCTCTAATAAATTTGTTAGTCTCTAAGGTGCCACAAGTACTCCTGTTCTTTCCACTGATACACAGATGCTACAGGCTCAGAAAGGGGCTGTGATCCTGTGATGGAGCAGGGAACAGGGCAGATTTGACCTGGGAATGTTGCAGGGAAGTTGCACTGGGGATGGGGGACTTCTCTTGAAGGAAGCTACCTGAGCTGTAACCTGAGCCAGGAGGGGGGTTGGGAGAAGTGACACCTTCTGCCCGGGAGACTGAACAAAGGAGAGGGGAGCGGGGGAGAAAGCTGCTGGAGGAGTTTTTAGTTTCAGTTTGGGCTGGGTGGTGCAACGCAGGGAACCCCAAGCTGGGGGTCTAAGCTCCCTAAACCCCCCAGAAGGACTTGATTGAGGGGTTCTGGTTGTACCTACCTGCTCTGCTTGGGACTGTGTTCCTGTCATCTAATAAATCTTCTGTTTTACTGGCTGGCTGAGAGTCACGGTGAATCTCAGGAAGAGGGGTGCAGGGCCCTGACTCCCCCACACTCTGTGACGGGTCAGATCCCCAGCTGGTATTAAAGGGTGCAGCTCTGTAGACTTCAATGAGGCTATGCTGAGTTACACCACGGGGGGATCGGCCCAAAGATCTCACTGTTAATTAACTATCCTGATATTTAGCCTAAACATTCCCTCTTTTAATTTCATCACATTGCTCCTAGCCACAGCTCTGTGCATCCCTCTCTTCCTCCAGGGGGCCTGATTCTCTCTTATTGTGCTGGTCTCAGAGGAGTAACACGTCCCCCCCTGACGCCGAGTCACTGGTGTGAGATGAGAACCGGGCAGTTGGTGTTTTACATCCTTCCAACCTGTGAAGCCATTCGCTGGTGGGAGCCGGCTCTTTTAATCTTCCCACAGCAATTAATCCTTCCTGCTCCCTGACCAAACACCCCCAATTTATCAACATGTTTCTATTCATGTGGTGACAGTGCGAGTCCAGGTGGGGCTGCACTACCACTGTAGGGAAGGACTGACACCTTTGGGTGGCTAATCTGAGGGCTTTCAACAGAGCCTAGCCCTCCCGCTGGCTCTCTGCAGGGGGGTGAATTTCACCCTTAATGAGATGTACCCAAATCAATACCCCTATCTGAACTTGGGGCATTTGCAATCTAGTGCTGAATCCTGAGGCCAGAGCCTGTCTGCCAGAATCCCCTCCCAGAATTCTCTAGGCCATTGTGTGGCAATCCCACTGGGCTGATGGCACTGCAACCTCCATCATCTCCCTGATTGTTAAGGACAGTAGCAAAGACGTCACTGGAGCCCAGTCGACATAAGGAAAACAATCTGTTGCCAACAATGCTTATTATCAGCAATTGGCCCCTCCAGCAGCTGGTCTGCTAGTGCAGATGGGATCAGACTAGTTTCAGCACTGTTAGAGGAAGCTTGATTGAGACTTTAATAGCACATCAGATGGATCCCTTGATAAGCAGTGTGTAATGCTGGCAGGCCAGATGCCAGCACTTGCCCAGGCTGCAGGCATTAGCTTAGAACTGGCAAACTAATCACCTGTATGTTAGTTTTGCTCAAAATAGGTATTAATCTTCTATGAATGCAGTTAGTGTTTAGATGAATGCAGTTAGTGTTTAGACTCTGAAATGCTTGTAAGTGGCTATATGCATTAATCTCACGAGCACTGTCTGTAGTCCATGCGATAAGGAAATATGTAAGTTTTGCTTCATAACTTTGAAAATGTTTGCTCTGAACTTTTGAACCCAGGTTAAAATTAGATGGGCTCTTAAGGAACATCGCAATAAAAATGATTGGTTAGCGGCCCTCCTGCACTTTGGAAATGCTACCAAGGAAGTTCATCCTGTGGACTTGGAAGCTGAATTAAGGAAATAAAACAAAGCCACGGGAAAATTTTCCATCTCTCTCTTCACTGTTTGAACTCTGACAGGGCCAGAGACTCTAAACTGAGACAGAGATCCCCACGGGTTACCTCTGGGTCTGCCCTGAAAGACAGTTTGAATTGACAGATCACTACAACTTTATCACCTTTAGGATTTAGATGTGAACTCATTTGGTTGTGTATGTTTGCTTGCTTTAACTTGTAAATAACTCTCTTATTTCTTTTTCCTAGTTAATAAACCTTTAGATAGTTCAATACAGGATTGGTTACAGGCATTGTCTTTGATGTACAATCTAGGGTACCAATTGATCTGGGGTTAGTGACTGGTCTCTTGGGACTGGAAGTAACTTGAACATTGTGTGATTTTTCTTGTAAGTTTATCACTAAGTCCAGTTTGTCTGGGTGGCAAGACGACTGTGACTCTATGGTAAGACTCCAGGAGTATACATTTCTTATTGGATGGGTGAAATCTAATTATAGAACATACCAAAAGTTTGGGATGCCCGCCCTGTTTTCTGACCGTGCCCTGAGGCAGGCACTCATGGTCGCGAGCTACTCCCAACAGCATGACAGTGGCTCAGTTTTCTAGTGTAGCTGGGGCCTAAGAGGATCAGAAAGCAGCAGAGGCTGGATCCGTTTTTGCCAGGCACCGTACTGCCCACTCAGGGCTTGCCACCCCTCTGGGAAGTTCAGGCAGAGTCCTTGTTAGCTGGAAGGGTCCTGAATTTACACTGGACATTGCAATGGGATTTCTTGGTAGCTACACCATCATCATCACAAGCCAACACAGCATTACTGGGCAATTCACTTGTCCTGAAACAGACAGTGGTCCTATCCTCATCTGGAGCCAGGCTGGTCAGCACCAGGATCACGTTTGTTTAGGAAAGGAAACCATAACCTACTTACCCTCCTTTGATGTAATCCAGGAAGGTGTACTCCGACTCCACGGTGAATGAGAGCAGCGTCACCTCGGAACCAAGAGACAGGGTGGCACGTTACACAGAGCCCGGGACAGCAGGGATCACTGGTGCAGTGCTGAGTGCTGAGGAAAGGTGCTAGTGTGATGTCCCTGGAGACTATCGATTGCCCGTCAGCCCAAGGAAGGAGTTAACTTCCCCACCCTGGTCTCTGGCAATGTGAGTCATGTTGGGCTGGTCGGACATTTTCTGTCAAAGCTATTTTTCAGTGGAAAATTGGGTTTTCGCCTACAATTTTTTTGGGGTGAAAATATCTGAATTCCATGGAAAATGTCTGCATTCCTTGGAAAATCCCCCTAAGAACTAAAATACACTGATTTTGAAATGATACTGTAGCACTTCATGGGAGTTGTAGTTCAGTCACTTCATGCTCCATTCTTCTCTATGCGCTGGATTTTCCAGCAGGACTACATCTCGCATGATGCCCCAGGACCAGGGACGCCCAAGTAACACTTCCCTTCTCCAAGAGGGGAGACCGTGGTGCATCATGGGAGATGTATACCAACCAAGAAGCCTGGCCCATAGAAGAGGATGGAGGTATGAGATGCCCAAGCTCCAGCTCCAACAAGGCACTGCGGCAGCATTTCCAAATTTAAATGTTTTGGTTTTCAGCTGAAATCTTCTGAAATTTGAATTTCTGGTTGTCACCATGGATCCTCCCCGCCACCTCATTTTGAACCAGCTCTTGTTTCATGTCTGCCTGGAGGGCCCATTAGTTTCAGTGGGTTGGTGATTCAACAGGAATCACAAGTTTCACTCTTTGAAGGATGTCTCTCATCCAAGATCTGACAGCGATCAGGCCTCCTTAGCTTATAAGATCAGAAGAGAAATCTGTCCACAAGAAGCTGATTGGTGACTGAGTGGTTCCACATTTCTAGTGATGTGGCAGAAAATTCTGACCCTTCATATCAAAGCATAACATGGGGGGGAAATATTGTCGGGGAAAGAATGCTTCTGATTGGTTGGTTCTGCACGGCAGCTTGCCATTGGGCAACTCGCCATCCGGGGATAATCATCTCCTGCCTTCCTGGATAGCTTAAATCCCAAAGAAAAATAAGATCACTTACTGTTCCCGAGTTAATGTATTTCTTTTTCTTCATTTTCTTTTTGGGATTCACCACCTGAAAGACGAAGGAAATGGAAGAGACTGAATAACCTGCGACACAAAGTGAAGCCTGTTTATGCTAGCACAAATGACACCATTGGCATAGGTCCCTCAGCAATAGTGATGGTGGAGGTTGTCCATTTTTATCAGTGTGTCTTCTTCCTGCTCTATCTTATTGGAGAGTGAATAACCACAACTGAATACAGTGTTCCAAGTGAGGGGCATATGATTGATTGATAACATGTTCTCAGTGTTTTCTATCTGTCTTTATCCATCGCGTCAGATATTCGGACATCAGAACAAGTCTCCAAATTATCTGGATGCTCATCTTTATTTTTAGTCTGAGATATTTCCCCCTCCCCTCCCAAAAAACTTATCATCAGCAAAGTAAAAACAACCCATCTTGCTTCTGATCTTTATATAGCCATCTCTTAGCAGGGATAAGGATGGAGGCAGAAAAGCCTAAAGCAACAAATTCAGCTCTCAGCAAAGGCAATTCTTTACGTCTAGCTTGAGCAGCCCTCGGGATGCCAGAGAACATAACGTTTCTGTTACTAAAGGGAATGTTTCCTTTCTCTGTCCCAAAGCATGGTCCCAATGCTAGGAAAAGATTTATCAAGAGATTTCAGCACTGACAGTCCAGTCGCAATGTGGCGTGAATTGGGGTAGCCCCCGCTGAACTCAGCTGAGCTTTGCTGATCTACAGCAGCTGAGGGACAAGCCCCATGGGAGCAGTCACCCTGTGCCGAGGTTCAGCTGGAGGCATAGGCACCACTTACAGTCCTCCCAGCAGGGCTTATGGAGGATGGAAACGGTGCACGGGCCCCATGGGGGCTCTCTGCAGAGGGGGATTTCACTCTCGAAGTGCATGCATGGCCCCATTATCACAGAATCTGTGCACCTCACAATCTTTACGATATTTACCCTTCCAACCCCCCGTGAGGCAGGGCAGGGCTATCAAACCAATTTTACAGATGCGGAACTAAGACCCAGAGAGAAGTGACTTGCCCAGCATCTCATAAGGATTCCATAGAGGAGAAAGGGACTTGAACCCAGTCTCCAGCTAGCATCCTGACCACTGGGCCAGCCTTCTTCAGGGCTAGACTAGCACTGTCCACATTGTTAGACGTGGAGGCCAAGTGACTAGTGATTTGGGGTACCTCCATTTTTGAGCACCCAACTTGGAGACACCTTGAAGGGGCCTGACTTTCAGAGGACTGGTGTTGGGCCCTTTCTTACATCAGGTCCCTTTAAGACATCTCAAGCTGGGTGCCCAAAATCACTGGCCGCTTTGAAAAAGCTTGGCCAGAAAGTCCACTCTTCAAATGTCCAAATTCTGCAGGACAAAGCTGCCCATGCTACTTTCCACAACCCAGCTGCTCCATAAGGGCCCAGGTCCTTCCAACACCTGGGATGGGGAAAGCGCCCAGATCTCCTGACCCTACTGCTCATCTGGCCCTCTCCAGCAAGTCCTGGTCTTCTCCCAGCCCAGCAGCTCTGCTGGCTTCCCCGAGGCTCTCAGTGATAACCAGGAACATGGCCTTTCCAGCCAGCAAATTTACATTTTTGCTCTGTCTCCAAAAAGAGCTAATCTGAAATCACTTTTCCCCCTGCCCTTCATGATGATCCGTTTTGATAAGGTCTTGGGAATTCATCTGGAACAAAAGGCATTAATGATTTGAACAAATTATACGCAGTCTCCCCCACTCCTCCCCTTCACTCCCTCCCCTCCTCCTGCTGGAGGGAGCCCTGAAAGCCTGCGAAGGGACATGCTGGGACACTAATAATGTGTCAGAGCCCAGGCGGCCATGCTGAAAGCTGGCCTAGAAACGTCACATCAGATGGTATTAAAAGGGAGCTGCCACAGTTAAGGCATGGGGAGTGCACAAAGCACTTTGTGAGAGGGGAGGAAACCCAGTGCAAGAACGCAGGGGATTCAAAGCCATGGGGTCGTTGCTCGGATTTGCTTATCGCTGACACACCGGCTCTGCCATCTGCACAGGGAGTTTTAAGAACAGAGGCCCTCAGCCAACGGAGCGATGCTGAGTCACAGCAGCCAAAGCCGCCTGGAGACTGCACACTGTTACTCTGTGCCCTGCTCTGTGTCTCCACTTACACCTGTGCACAGCGTTGCCCTGGCTCAGCTGACATGAAATACGCCTCAGGTTTTACTTGCTGTGGCGTGCCAGTAAACAGCCAGACCCAGCATCGCCTCCCAGTGAGCCATGTGGAGAAACACCGGCCAGGCCCCACCAGGCAGAATGCATCAGTACTAACCCCAATGAGTTCACTGGTGAGGCAGCTACATGCACTCTGTTCTGGCCAGATGACATCGCTTGGGGTAAACTGTGGCCAAGGTGCTGACATACCGGGATTGTCCAGACTTCAGTTAGTGCGAGGTTAAATTTCTAGGCGAGAGTCCCTGGAGGGTGTAAATCAGCATAGCCCCATTGACTTCACTTTATGCCAGCTGAGCATCTAGCCCACAAGGTCACCCTCACCGAGGTGTCTAGTCTCCTTTCCCATTGCTAGTTCATTGCACTCCTGGATCCTGAGACTGCCCCAGCCTCCTGGAAGGTTTAATTAGGTGTTGCAGCCAAGGAGCTATGACAAGCAGAGCCCAGTAGCAAACAGAAACATGGGAGTATCCCGGAGTAACTCACAGATGGGTTTGTATCCATGGTAAAATCCCTTTATGGTTGTACAGTAGCAATTTGTTTGTATTATTTATTACTGTCGGGAAATGTCTAATAATTGGCTTTTATACAGTATTTTTCCATGAGGAGGCTTGAAACATCTTTATTTCTGAGCAATTTCCTGCCAATGCCCTGAGTCCTGAGCAGCTGCCCTCCCTCTGTTCCAGCCCTGAGCCCCCCCATCCCCTGCTCTGCCAATGCCCTTGCACCCTCGCCTCTGCTGTTTCAGTCTTGGGCTCCCCACAGACCCAGTTCTGCCGATGCACCTCGATCCACCACTGTTCCAGTCTCAAGTTCCCCACACAGCTTTCTGATGCCCGTCACTGCTCACCGGCAGTCCTGGCCATCCCCTGAGCAGGGACTCAGCCGTGTGCTGATTTTGTTATTGCAATTATTGTTATTTATTATTACCGGAGTGCCAAGACGCCCTAGTCACGGACCAGGACCCCACTGTGCTAGGTGCTGTACAAACACAGAGCACTAAGACGGTCCTTGCCCTGTAGTCAGATGTTCTCCAAGCTAGGAGAGACCATTAGACTCATCTCCCATGTGATGTCAGCATGCAGTGAATCCAGGCCATCCGAGGTGGGCAGCCAGTGTGTGACAGCAAACCGATTGGGTGGCATTTGACATCATTGTCACTCCCTTTCCACAGATGCAAACAACTGCACAAGGGACTAGGCAATCATCAGCCCTGATCTCACAATGGTGTCACGCTGGTGGTGACCACTGGCCAGACCCTCAGCTGGTGTAAATCAGCGTAGCTCCACTGGAGTTACTGGACATTTGCCAGGTTACGCCAGCTGAGGATCTAGCCCAGGAATCACTCCTGATTTACACTGCCTCTCAACACGGGAGCACGCAAGGCTGGTGGAAGGGACGTGGCCCAGCACAGTGGCGGCCTGGCTGCCCAGAGCTTGGCTAGTCCTCTTGATGGGTTCTGGGGGTGCCCCGTCTGCACTCACCTCGTAGACGTTGAACTGGCTTTGCCCGCGGGCCAGCTCCCGATAGCTGGTTGTGAACTCCCCAATGAAGTCGTGGCTGCGCATGGAAAGAGAAGCTCTGTGAGAAATGCTCTAGTGATGGATTGTCAGCCTGGGGGTCATGCCCAGGTGTCAAGGGGCCATGACCACCTTAACCTTCCCATACTGCTAAGTGGGGGTAGGGTCCTGGGGGGAACCACCACTGCAGAGTTCACTCAAGCTCCTTCTTCCCTCCTTGCTGTCTCTTTCTCAGTCCCCTCTCTTTTCCTGTTGTCTTTCCCTCTCTGCTGCACTGGGATCACAGACAAAGCATCTCTCTGCAAAGAGAATGAGTAATGGCTGCAGCACAATGGCCCTGATCCTTCCCTGGATAGAGTCACTGCACTTCAGTGCCTAGGCTGCTCTGGCAGATTTGAGGTTTGTATAGCTCTAGCGAGTCCCCCTTACCTGCCGTCCCGGTCCCAGTCGTACACTTCCACCTTGATGGTCCTGCAAGACACAGTGCCATAGTTATTGCCAGAGTCAGGGTGGGACGATTTCACTAAAGGATAGATCAAATCATCCCTCTGCCCCCACATGCACAGCCTAGACTAGCATCAGCATCTTCTCTGGCCCTTCACTCAATGCTGCTGCAAGAGTCTTCTTCTGTGCAGCCCGGAACAGCCTTGTCCATTCTCCATCGCCTCCCAGGTCTCAACACATTCCTACTTTCCTGGTCTATGGCCTGTAAGTTCTTCATCCCTCTGCTGGTCTGTGCTATGTATTGCTCCCCATCTGCTTTCTCTGTACACCTTTATCCTGCCCTCTCTTCATTGCCTCCTCACTAAGGCAACCAGGCCTTTCTTTTCAAGCCCTCTGTATAATTGTGCCTCACCAGGGGGCTAGACTAGCTGGCCTCTTGAGGTCCTGTCTGCCCTACATTTCTGTGGTTCTGTAGGTCTCTAACCATTCCCATCACCTGTCTCTGGGCCAGGCCTAATTCTGCAGCACCTTAGAATAGCTCAGCACAGAGCTTCCAGTGGTGTTCAGCACAAGTGTGAACCAGGGCCCCCCAGACCTAAAGGCAGGAGGTGCCGACCTGCCCGGGGATGGGGAAAAGCCGTACCAGACTCCCACCCCTATGGATCAGCACAGCTCTAACACACCCTCGCTCATGATGCTTACGCAAGGGAGCAGAGATTTCTGCACGAACCCTCCAGCCGATGTGGACGGACATTGGTCAGAAGCCAGTGGCTGCACCCAGTGGGCAGGGAAGGAGTTAATACTCAAAGCGCTGTCTCAATCGGGGAAACAAAGTGAGGGGGTGGATTGCGTGTGTTGTCTCCATCTGTGACTGGCTTGGCCCTGGTGTCTACGTTTCCGTGGCAACTGAGGCTAAAAATACACTTCCAAAAAAATGGTGGTGGTGGCGGGGGGGGGGGGAAGACCCACGCAACAGTCAAAACAAACTAATTAAATCTCCAGCGCAGGAGTCGGGAGGATAATTAAAAATCATTTTAATAATTTGTTTGGACTTGCTTGGAAGCAGGCGAACGAGTTAAGTGTGTGAGGTGAACCCACCATGCTCCAGAGACCAGCAGGGCTGCTGAGGAGGGCGCTAGGATCATTCCAGGAGCCATGGGTCACCAGGTGCAGAGTGCTGGCTGGTGACTGCTACCCTGAGATCTCCACAGAGCTGCCCTGGACCAGGAGTCGCCAGAGCGGATCAGAGAGTGGGGGACATCTAGCCTCAGTTTCCCACAGTGCCCAGTACCAGCTACTTCAGAGGAGGGGGCAGAACCCCAGTGGATAATTATGGAATAACCTGCCCATGCAGGAAGCTTCTTCTTGACCTGTGTGACTAGTAATTGCTTTATGCCCTGAAGCAGACAGGTTTATAGAATCATAGAACTGGAAGGGACCTCGAGAGGTCATCTAGTCCAGTCCCCTACACTCATGGCAGGACTAAGTATTATCTAGACCATCCCTGACAGGTGTTTGTCCAACCTGCTCTTAAAAATCCCCAATGATGGCGATTCCCAACGTCCCTAGGCAATTTATTCCAGTGCTTAACCACCCTGACAGTTAGGAAGTTTTTCCTAATGTCCAACCTAAACCGCCCTTGCTGCAATTTAAGCCCATTGCTTCTTGTCCTATCCTCAGAGGTTAAGAAGAACAATTTTTCTCCCTCCTCCTTGTAACAACCTTTTATGTACCGTACTTGAAAACTGTTTCATGTCCCCTCTGTCTTCTCTTCTCCAGACTAAACAAACCCAATTTTTTCAATCTTCCCTCATAGGTCATGTTTTCTAGACCTTTAATAATTTTTGTTGCTCTTCTCTGGACTTTCTCTAATTTGTCCACATCTTTCCTGAAATGTAGCACCCAGAACTGGACACAATACTGGAGTTGAGGCCTAATCAGCACAGAGTAGAGCGGAAGAATTACTTCTCGTGTCTTGCTTACAACACTCCTGCTAATACATCCCAGAATGATGTTTGCTTTTTTTGCAACAGCATTACACTGTTGACTCATATTTAGCTTGTGATCCACTATGACCCCCAGATCCCTTTCCGCAGTACTCCTAGGCAGTCATTTCCCATTTTGTATGTGTGCAACTGATTGTTCCTTCCTAAGTGGAGTTCTTTGCATTTGTCCTTATTGAATTTCATCCTATTTCCCGTAAGGAAAAACCTGCCTCATCTAATGTAACAATTTCTTGCTTAGCAGGAATCGGGTCCAGCCAGTGCTGACTATAGACACACAGAACACAGACAGAGTGGTGAGAACAGGGATACCCTGTCTGGAGGGAGGGGGGAGTGAGCTTAGCAAGCATTCAGCCTCAGCTAGGTAAATATTAGCACCCTCTCTTTACAGGGGAAACTGAGGCACAGAGCGGCAATGTGATTTGCTGAAAGCCACCCAGCAAATCTGTGACAGAGTCCGGAATGGAAGCAGGGTCCCTGATTCCCCATCCTTCCTGCTCTGCCCATTAAATCACAGCAGATAAGTTGATTAATGAGTCATCATTTCCATTAAAGATGGGCCGAGTGTCAAATGCCCCATGAGCGGGTGTCCCGCCATTAATTATCATACTCTTACCAGCACAAGATTGTAAATCATTGATCTAAGGTCCTTATCTGACCCCGCCACCTCGTAATTGTTACTGTATTTACCCTCACCACCACGGGAGGTAGGGCACAGCTGTTGCCCCATTGTACAGATGGGGAGCTGAGGCCCAGACAGGCCATGGGCTAGATTCACAGAGGGATTTAAGCACCTAACTGCCACCTTAGGCCCCTAGGTTGAACATTTACGTGCCAGTGGCTTTAACAATCCCCTTCTCAGCTCCTGCCTGGCCCCAGAGGTGCCTAAAGTTCCGAGGTGACTACGTTTCCACAGTTAAAAGTCCTTCGGGTGCCTGAATTTCAGCAGCTGAGCACATGCACACCTGTCTAAGTCCGGACGCCAGCCGGCACCACACCCCAGCAGAATCCCCTGCCTGTTTTGCCTTTAGGTGTATCTTATGCTGCATTTTCAAACCCTTGGCAGCGAGGCTCAGAGCCTGGTCGACAGGGTGGGTAGCAGAGCCCGAGTCACGATGCCAGTGCAGCCATTCCTAGCACCCTAGCATGAGCCCACATCTGTAGAGCCAGGCTCTGAGACTTGCTGCTGCGGGTTTGACAGTGTAGCGCAGATGTACCCTCGGGGCCTGAGCCTGTAGCGGTGCTCGGAGCAGGGGATTTAACTTGGATCTTCCAGGTAGGTGCCTTAAGCCCTGGGCTCCAGAGTCATTCTCATGCTGTGTGGCCCACTGTAGAGTTAATTAGTTATACCCAGTGGAACACTTTACTGGGGAGACTGAGAAAGGCCCACTTCAGGATACCCCAGACCTGGTGATTAGGGACTCTCCAGAGCAGTGGGAGACCCAATTTTGACTCCCCTGGGTTGCACACTCCCAGAGACACAGCAAGTCAGACACAGAGCCTACTGCCCTTCCACTCTGCTAAACTCCCCAGCTGGCCTCCCCTCTGCGCTGAAGTGATGGGCATGAAGCCACCTGCGAGATTAGTGACGCCAAAGTGGCCCTGACATTACATTTAAAGTCACACACAGACAGTCAGCCCCAAACGTTCGCTCTCTCGAAGGAGCTGGCTGCACCTCCAGCCCTAACAGTGATATCATGCCCCAAGCAGCTGTCAGCACTGAGCATCCGTCAGGGGCCTCTCACCTCTGCAGTCGCATCCAGGGCTGGACCCTGTACGGGTCAGTCTGTCAACCTTTGTGAAAACCTCTTGCCAGACTGGCTGGAAGATGAAGATGGGAGAGGATGATGGATAAGGAGGCTTCAGGGGGTGGAGCTGTATCAGAGTTTGGCTGGGACAGGGGTAAGGGCCAGATTTACAAAGGATGCAGGTGTACACCTAGTGGAGTTTACAAAAGTGCCCAAGCAGCTCAGGGGTCTCTCTGCATTGTTAGGTGTCTAAATACCTTTGTAAATCTGGCCCTAAGTAGGTTCTTCTAACTCTCTGAGGTGGCTGGCTCTTTACCCAGGCAGCTATAAGTGAGATGGGCATGTCTAACTAGAGAGGGAGGTCCTAGTGTGTGGGCTGAGCAGCCCTGAGGAGGAGCAGCTAAGCTAGGGGACAAGGCTTGAACTGGGCTTTGCATTGTTTCCTTTTGAGTTCCCATTGTGAATAAAAACCAAAGCCCAAGAAAGGGGTAGTACTGATCCAGAGGGATGTGCCCCTGGGAAACCCCCAGAGAAAAACACCCAGGATTGCAAAGTAATTGAAATGAATGCAGGGCCGGCTCCAGGGTTTTGGCCGCCCCAAGCAGCCAAAACAAAAAACAAAAAAACAAAAAAAAACAAAACAAAACAAAAAGCCGCGATCGCGATCTAAAAAAAGCCGCGATCGCGATCTGCGGCGGCAATTCCTTCACTCCCAGGCGGAGTGAGGGACCGTCCGCCGAATTGCCGCCGAATACCTGGAACTGCCGCCTTTGTCCAGAACGGCCGCCCCAAGCACCTGCTTGAGAAGCTGGTGCCTGGAGCCGGCCCTGAATGAATGCTCCCCCACCCAGCTCAGCAAGTGAGCAGGATGGCTAACAATCTAGGAAGAGACAGACGGAAGACTGTACTGGGTCCAAAACAAGGAGACACATATCCTGGCTATGTTAACACTCAAATTCACACCCCCACAGGCACACCCATCATGGTATTATTTGTTTATGTATTTATTATGCATTAATTATAGAGCTTTGAATTGTGTGGAGGAAAGATGCAAAAAATCCTCCTCCAGCAATGCACTATGTCTCCCTAAATAATCTCCAGCATCATTCTGGAGTATCTATATGTTGCATTTATCATTCTGGAGTATGTATACATCACATCTTTCAGGCATATGTCATATCTAGCATTCTGGAATACGTATGTGTCACACTCGGCATGTATAGATCATCACCATATGACACACCATATTGTGTGTATGTCACATCTGTCATGTATA